TGACTAGTGATGCCGCTCACGAGATCCCTGACAGAGTTCCTCGTGGACATACGGAGAAAAGATTCTAGGTGAAACAGAAGAAACAATTTTTGTTTTTTTGTATTTTTTTTTGATCGAATGCCAGTTAAAAATAGCAGTGGTGGCTATATTAATTCTATCTTAGGAAACACAAGAAAAGTAAGAACGTTCTTGATTACGCCCACCAGATTTGGTTACAAAGGCTTTTTTCTTTCTTAGTCCATTGGTAAATTGTGTAATTTTGTTTTTCCACAAGCGCCTTCAAGCAAACTATCAATATTAAGGTGAAATAAATATGTATTATTTCTAATCTGAAACATGACAAATTTGATAAAAACCATGACAATTTTTTAGACACTTCAGGTCAAGGAACAGTAAATGGGCTATGTCACAGATTTTGCTAAAAATTTGCATACAACTTTGGCTCGTTTAACTAACTGATAACGAAAAAATAATGCAATTATCTCTTTTATTATCTGAAATATTACTGATTGAATTCTTTCAAAATAGATCTTGTAGGTGAAAATTTGTATAGAAAGCACATAAAATATGCAAAATCCTTTCTTAAACTTGTCTTAAAATTATCAAACCTCTAATTTCTGATACATAGATTTTTCTTAAAAAACTATATGTTGCTGATACATAAATTTACTTTTAAATGATATATAATAATCATATGGTAACCGACTTCGTTTTTTGTCTAATGATCCACCTGTTATCTAGTTGGTTATGAAAAACGTTAAAAACTAACGTTTTAAACGGCCTGCAAACGTGATGACGTTACGATTATTTCGATGTTTTGTGGTATTTTTTCACATAGAACACCACTTTGAAATAGATCTATGTATACCATAAAAACGAAGTCGGTGACCCTATCATTATTTTACAGCATCAAAACGGAAATTTATGTATCAATAACATATTATTGTCTTAGAAAAATCTATGTTTCAGAAATAAGACTTACTTACTTAGTCCTTGCTAAGTTTTATGGTACATAGGGCAAGGACAAGTTTCCTCCATTCTTCTCTGTTGTTTGCCTTTCTTTACACTGTGCCCCAGGTAAATCCCTTTTCCTTTAATTCATTTTCTATAGTGCGTCTCCGTGTTGTTTTTGGTCTTTCTTTTTTTCTTTTCCCTTTTGGTGTCCATCTAAGGGCTACCTTGGTCATGTCTTCAGATGGTTTGCGTAGAACATGACCAAGCCACCTCCATCTCTTGTATCAACAACGTCTCCATGTCCTTGGTGTTTGTGATCTCATGTAGGTCTTTGTTGGATATTTTGTTTAGACAGAATATTTTCATTATCTTCCTCAGACAGGTGTTATGGAAGCTAGAGAGTCTGTTGATGTCTTTCTCGGTCATTCTCCAGCACTCTGAACCATATAGGAGTACAGATAATACACAGCTGTTATAGAGTCTATTAAGCTTGGTCTTCTTTGAAAAAGCTGTTGTTTTCAAGATGTTGCCTAATCTAATGAGTGCTGATCTAGCTTTTCCTATTCTGACCGTTATATCTCTTTCAGCACCAGCTTCTGTTGTTATACAACTTCCTATGTAATTAAATGAGTCTACTGTATCCAGCTGTTTCCCTTCTACAAATATGACAGGCAGTCTCTCTGTGTTAAGGTACATTAACTTTGTCTTTTTGGCATTGATCTTAAGTCCAATCATTTTAGCAATTTCTTCTAGCTTTCTGGTCTTCTCCTGCATATGGTCTTCTGTATGTGATAAAAGTGCTAAATCATCTGCATAGCCTGTGTCCTCAAGCGTGGTACATAGTGTCCATCTCAGTCCGGTGTTACTTTCTCCTAAGGTCGTTCTCATTACCCAATCAATGGCAATTATAAAAAGCACAGATGACATAACACATCCTTGCCTTACTCCTGATTTTACAAGGAAACTTGTGTCAGCTTCAGAGTTGATGGTACACGAGAAGTTTGCATAGAACTGCTTGATGAGTTGCACTATCTTACTTGGTATTCTATAGTTTCTCAAAATTTCCCAAAGAATTTCCCTGTGTAAGCTGTCAAAAGCTTTTTCGTAGTCTACAAAATTCACAAGCAGTTTTCTCTGACACTCATGGCACTGTTCTAAGATGTTTCGTATGACAAATATGTGGTCTATGCAACCTCTACCTTTTCTGAAACCAGCTTCTATAATTCTTGATATTAAAATTATGCAGAAGACCTTTCTTGGAATGGATAGTAAGGTGATTCCTCTCCAGTTGTTGCAGTTAATTAAGTCTTCGGATTTTGGTATTGTTATGATGTTGTCTTCAGACCAACTGTTAGGAATAACAGCTTGTTCCCATATTTTCTGAAATGTTGGGTGTAAAGTATCCGCTGCTAGCATTGGATCTATCTTAAAAGGTTCTGCATTTACTTGGTCTATGCCAGGTGCCTTTTTGTTTTTCAAGCTTTTAATGGCTTTCTTTATTTCTTGTTTTGATGGTGGATCTGTATCTATTTCTAGGTCCATAGGTGCTTCAGGAATAATTGCTAGTTCGTCTGGATCTTTTCGGTTAAGAACTTCTTGAAAATGTTCCTTCCATCTTAAGTATTGATCTCGTTCTGTTGTTAGTATATTATTGTTTTTGTCTTTTATTGGCATATTTACATTAGCTTTTTTGCCACTTAATTGTTTAGTTATTGTCCCATTCCCTGATTTGAAGCTCCACTTTCTGCTTCTCTTGCTAGGTCTACCATAAAATCCCTCTTTTTCTTACGTGTTGCTGTGTTTATCTTCTTGTTGCATTCTGTATATTTTGTTTTTAGCTTGTCATTATTCTCTCAGAATGTGTTTGACATATTTTGTTGTTCACTATTTTTCTTTCATCTATCAATTTCCAAGTTTCAGGTGTTATCCATTCTTTGTGTACTTGTCTTTTGAATTCTAGTACCTTTTTACTAGCCTCAGTGTAAATTTTATGTATGTGCTGCCATCATCATTGACTGATATTGTGTTATCCTGCGCAGAAGTAATTTCTTTCAAACAATAATTTCAATGTAGATCATTTGACTTACAATATAGATTAAATATCTTATTTGCCTTTTATTTGCTTATTTGAAAAGAACTGTGGTAATCGTTCTGGGAAGTAACCTAACTAAATAATGACCAACTTAACTAAACTGTAACAAAATCACTGTACTAAACGCTCCTCGATATGACGGTGTTTCTACCCGTGAATTGTATATGTAATTTAAATAAACATTTATCAACTAACCTGCAGTTTAGTCGTTGAAGTTTGAGACGTCCAGGCAGTTTTACTTTGGACATTACTGACAGACATATTACAAGTTATACAAGAACACAAAACTACTTCGCCTTCGGATTAAAAAATATCCTCCACATGCAATTAGCAAATTCTGCAATTCGATAGCGCATATTTCACAAAGAATGTTTGAATATTAAATATAAGCTGATTAACTCGTAAAATTTTCGTCATATATCGATTATTTTATACTTCTTTTAATACTCAGTAGTATCCCTGTGAAAATGTGTAATGGAAAACAATTTCTTCTTTCAATTATTCATTGAAAGTCAATTTGTAAAACAAACGCAAAATTATTTGTCAATTTACATAAACATTAAAAAGATTGAAGACGCGATAATGATAATTCCCCCGTGTTATCAGTATATCAGGTTTCTTACAAATCAAGATGTTCGTCTAAACCTGTTTGATACGCCTTTATTCATATGGAATTGAAAATCAATAGATGCATCCCGAGTAGAATAAACTTATATTAGTGTTACCTTCCTAGTAGAATAAACTTATATTAGTGTTACCTTAACAGGAAAAGTTAATATTACTAATCATTATGTTTTGCAATATGAAATAGCACCAGTGATAATATTTGGCCCTACCTAAGATTGCTGCACATGGTTGAATTGAAATTATGTGTATTCATGTTTAAAAATATATAGGACCATTTCCCCCAGAAATTTACTTTGTCATTTTCAAAAAGCCTTTAAATAGCTTGATTTTAAAATCAGGAAATGTGGTATGATTGCCAATTTCAAAATCAGGAGATGTACTATGATTGCATTTATTATGAAGACAACTATCCACCAGAGTCCAAATATGACGTGCACTGTAAGCAACTACAGGTAGCCGTACGACCCTCAACAATGAGCAAAACACATAAAGTATAGTAAGCTATATAAATTGGATACAATTCAAGAGAAACCCAACGACACAATTTATGCTAAAAACAATAAACGAAAAACAACAGTGACAGACAGCAACCAACGACAAAAACTTAATTAAAGGCTCTTGACAATGGACAGACACATACATAATATGGCATCATCTATTCACTTTAAGTTCTATGATTAAATTACAAATTTGTCAAGATAGCTCAAAACTTCAATATTGATAGCCTTTGTTGTAAATTTTGAAAGAATTATTTTAAGAAGGACTTAACAAAAACAGAAATTTGATTGTAAATAATCAAATTTAGAAATCGAATCGTTTAAGTTAAATTCGGAACGATGTAAACTTTAAAAATACAAACCTAATTTTTAATCTTCCTGATAATGTAAAATACAGCAGAAATTGGTCCATTGATCTTCGTTACTAAGATAAACGTGTTTCTCGTACATGACCTTTGTATGACATTGGTGACACTCTTTTCAAGGACAAAACCTTGTAAGTTGTACATATTCAAATTCGGCAGAAGTTCAAATGCACTTTTAAATGAATTTCTTAAGTTAGTTTTATCAAATAAAACTGTCGGCCATCTATTGTTCGTTTATGCTTTTTATGCCTTAACCACTGGTACGCGTTAGTGCTCGTGTCTTTTCTCGATAATTGTTCTTATAAAAACTGTTTGAAGAGTTAGTTTGAAAATTGTGTGAGAGAGAGAGAGAGAGAGAGAGAGAGAGAGAGAGAGAGAGAGAGAGAGAGTGTTTCGGACAGATTTTCAACTTTACTGTGCAAACCCAATTTGTTCTAATACATTAATTAAAATGACGATGCGCTTTATGAACAGATTTTCTTTATTTCAGTGGACATTTTCATTTTTTTCTTCATGATTTAAATGAATATTCAAATGAACTAATGTGATATGTGATACTGTACACTTAGTTCATCTTAGTGAAATTTATATATATATAGTTTTTAATGCTAGTTTTTAAAAACCTTCCTCTGGCAGTTCGAAGACCAAAAGTGTATTACTGTTACAGCTAGTTGGGTCTAAAGACACTATCAAACTATCTTCATTTGAAGTCAAACATACAGTTTGAGGACTGAACGAACCATTCCATCGATTTACAACCTCCCTTATAAAATGTCCGTTGTGATCTATGAAATGAATATTGTCAGATCCCCATCCAACTACAAAAAGATCGTCATTATTTCTCATAACCAAACCTCTTGGTGCGTTCAACCGATCGTGAGAATAGACAAACCGACGAAGTGTAGTACCGACGCAACAGTAAATCTGCGCACGGTGACAGTCCGACACATACAAATGTGATCCATTATTATCAAACTTTACGTACCACGGTCTTAAAAACAGTGATTGGAAATTTACCTCCGGACATATTGTCATTATTGCTTCACCACTGTCAGTAATCATTTTTACACATGTGTCCTTTGCAAGCGGACATGTGTATGCGAATCGTTTATTTGAATAGGCTATACCATAACAGCTATCTTTAGTGATAATTGTTTTCTGTAACTGTATTGACGAACCTATGCTGAATATTGAAATTACGGATTGTGATGGTATTGTAGCAGCTACTTTTTTTCTACCTACAATAGTAACATCAAAGGGAAAAAACTCTAGTTCATGTTCATTTTGCATTTGGAATTCTGCATCAAATACTTTCAGTTTTGAGTTATTTTTGTCTGCACACACCAGAATATTATTCGGTAGCATTACCATTCCAGTAATAAAGCTTGCATGTTCATCAGTTTTGGTTTTCACGGAAAATTGTTGTAATGGCAGTTGATAAGACAACATCGACACATTATCTTGGTATTCATTCTTGTTTTCTGGCATCAATTCCTGTTCTTTTCCTAATCCTGATATTAGATTTACGTTTTCGTTTTTAATGCTAAAGTCTCCTAAGTTACGGAGAGTCTTTGTGATTTTTTCAAGGTCATTATTAACAGTGAAAGTCACCCGTGAACTGGTCAGCGGCTCATGAATATCAAAAATCATGTCGTTTAACATTTGTGCTTCTATCTCAATCTTGTTTTGCCATTGTATGAAATGGACATCATTTGCATGTTTAGAAGCTGCTTTCAAAACACTGTGCATGTTGTGTGAAGTGTTATAAATTCCCTTGGCGCCCTGTACATCAGTATCCAGGACTTGCTTCTCCTTTGAACATATATCATCCAGTTCTTTCAAACATTGGTTTTCATATTTTGTTAGAATATCATTAATTTTACGCCTAACAGACATTATCTGTTCTGTTAATTTTGATTTTGTAACTTCACAGTGGGAAAGCCAGTGACATTGAAGAGTTCCTTCCGGTGGTCACGCGGGAAAGGGGACATAAGCTAAAAATTTCGTGGTGGCGCTGTCATCAGCGTGTAAACAAAAACGTAGTATATGATTCAGACAATAAATTTATACAAACGACTTATCATCCAACAGTATTTGCGGTATAATCTCCATCAGAATAGATTTTGTCACACGACTGCCAAAAATATATTAAAATAAGTGCTTCGTTATTGAAATATGATAAATCAAAAGACTACCTCCGTTGATTTCCAAAAAACCGCGGGTAATACCCCCGTCTGAAAATAACTGACACAATTGCATCCTAAAGCTTTTCATTGGTTGAGATATAAATAAATGTGACCCAGAAACATATGGGCACATGACTATGTAAAGAATTCCCCGTCACTTCGAGTCTTGTTTACATAATAAATACCTCAACCGGAGGTCAAAATTCAACATTTTTGGCGTTATTTCATTGTAAAATGTTCAAATGATGTCAATTTTACCAGTTTTTAATCACGGAATTGATTCAGACAATGAAGTGTGATGATGTTTCCTGGATTTTTAATATGTTTTACAAAAAAATGTTGATAGGTTGAAGGCTTTACTCCGTCATTTGTTGATTTTTTTCATGTTGCTCAGACTCCTTGTTTCAATAATTTTCTGCATTTATTTAATTATGCTGCAGTGTATAGCAGATTTATGTAGTACATTGAAACTGGTTTATTCTATGAACGAATTTGCCAAATAAAAGACTTCAGTTGTCAAGAAGCCCCCCCCCCCCTTTTCCCACTTTCAAGAAATTTCAGTTGGGCAAAAAAATATTGTCTGAATGAAAAGCTTGCACAAATGCAAAGTGTAAACACTCAGCTAATGTCTGTTTTAAGCCATTTTTTTTAGTCTAATGATTACAGTCATTCTTTGTTTCTGTAAATATTTACCTGAAATGTGTCAACTTGTCAATTTTAAAAATATTAAAAGTATCAATCAACAAATATTGCCTGCCTGCCACTGTGACATGAAAATCTGATGAGTCAATAATTTTCCCTTGATTTTTAGTCTTTCTTCTTATTGTATAAATAAAACTACTAGGCAAGTGGGAAGTTAACACACAAACATTTGTTTTTTGCCTGTCCTCATAAAGGAACCAATGTTGTACACTAACCATTCATGTTTAAGTGTGTCTGGGCCCTGGTAACAAATATTTTTCATTGTGTTTCCAAAGTGTGCATGTTCTTAAAGAATTGTTTTGAAAAAGTTTTGTGGCCATTCATCAAATTTGTTTTTCTTCCATATAAAATTATATATAGTAGCTGTATTTATTTTATCATTAGTTCTGGATTTAGAATTTTTATCACATGCTGTTTTATTAGGTCCTTTATACTTGACAGATTGGTTTGCAAATTGTTGAAGGCTAAAACAGTGTTACCTATAATTATCATCCTCTATCAATTGTCAATCATGTCAATATGTGTTTCTTTTAAAAACAACTTTTCCCAAGGAAAAACTCAAGTTGAAAAAAATAGTTCAACCCAGATATGCTGCTGCTGAAGAAATTAACATTAACAATGGTATTTTTCAATTATAGCATTCATTAATTACACTATTCCTTCATTGAAAATGAAAAAAAAATATTTTAAATTGAATGCATCCAAGGGCTCGCTTTCCTGGATTAACCTTCAACAGGTATGCTCAATGCCTAGTACATACAAATCTTAATACAAGTGAGGGCTATATGACCATTAAGAGCATTAAAAAAAGCTATATTGCTTCTGAGGTCTACTTTGAAATGACATATGAATGTCTCGCTCTGATTTTGGTGATCCTGTTTTGTTGCGTTGATATTAATGTTCGACCAACTTTTATTTCACACTAATCTTTTTCGAGGTCTATCATGATGGAAATTATAGGTACTTTAAATTCAGAAAGGATAGCAAAGTTTTTATTACTGCAATAATGTGAGTGGGTGAGTATCTAAATAATAAATTGCATTCTGATACCTTTTAATCTGATTAAAATGCAAATCCTGTGTCCAAGTTTATTACAAGAAAACAAAGCTTGGACACAGGATCTATACTTAAATCAGATTCATACCATTCCTATATCTGTGTGCTGATTTTTCTGCAAAAGCAATACTTTTTCACACATTTTATTCCATTCTTCAAATTTGCAATAATAAAAGCACACAATAATTTGCAAAATCATGTGATTACATATAGGAAAAGGGTACCTAGGCATCTCATTTTTAATACTACACATGGAGCAGGATCTGCTTACTCTTCCAGAGCACCCGAGATCATCTGTATTTTGTGGGTTCAAGTTGCTCAGTTTTCATTTTTCTAATTTGTATATTAATTTAAACTTTTCATCAAATAATCTGAAAACAGAGATATATATATCTGCTGAAAATGATTTATTTAGGTGCAGGGGTCACCACACTTCAAAATCTCCCTGGAAGCATATAACAGTGAAAAGTCATGTCATGAGAGGCCATTAGAGAGACATCAAGGATACCTCTGGGACAAGTGAACGATTCTAAAACCACTCCTAAAACCACTCCGTTTAAGTCCTTCACACCTAATAAATCATTAAAGTAGACCTTTTACATCTTTGATATTTTTTTATGTCTCAAATACTACAGTACATACATGTATATGGCTAATATGCTTGCTTTGCATCTATGAATGTTTTATTGTACTGCAGGAGCAGCATTGTCTCATGTACATCTACCCCATGTTATCAATATAAAATGATTATGGTGTTTCACTTTGTATGTTTAAAAATATAAAAATGTTAAGAAAAAAAAAGTTTATTAAAAGATAAATAAATACAAATGCATAAAAATAATGTTAAAATGAAACATAATATGTAAATAATATCTTAAATAATTATAAGTTAATAAACTTCAATCAAATAAACAAAATTTAATACAACTTTAATAATACTTTGAAAGTAAAAAAAAACCAAACGCATACCAATAAAGTTTAAAATTTAAGAAACATTATTGTTAAAAAGTCCAAGTTAAAGTAAAAACAAGTCAAATAGTCCTCTGTTCCATAAATCCTCAAAATGGAAATGTTTCCTGCTCTTCTTTATTCCTTATTTCTATTGATATCTGTAAATATATAATTTATGCATATGATATTAAATGAAAATAATTTCCAACTTCTCTAGAGTTGTCATATGAAATTATAATTTATATTTTAATTGTCTACTGATTCTTATGTGGACTGGTCCAAGTTTTAATTTAAATTGAATGTTTCTAATTTCACTAATGTAAAACTAATCAGATGTGAAATAATTGCCAATGAGACAACTATCCCCAAAAACTTAAATGGAGTGGATATAATTAAGCAATTTTATGCTACACTAAAGCCTTCAAACATGAGAAAATCCCATAATGTATATACTTAGTTTGTTTTTAGATATTTGTTATTATTTTTTTGAAATTGAAATTATTCTTATTTTAATCTTAAATAATCAAAAGTATGTATATAAGCTTCAATAAAAATAAACAGAAAAATTTAGACTTTTGGTGTAAATAAATAATTTATTTTAATGACTTTATATGATATGTCTGATAAGAAAAGGTCATAATCATATACAGCAACATATGTTGAAAGAAATTTTTCTATTTATTTATTTATTTATTTACTTCAGTATCTTAACATGTTGAAGTTAAACTCATCACTATAATAACATATCAATCTTTTTAATAGATATTAATATATATTTAAATTAAGTTTAACTTCATATGCAACATTAAATTATCATATCTGTTATTTCAAAGGTAACTTTTCATTCAATCATTCATATCTTTAATTCCTCATAAATGATATTAAATGTAAGTAAACGTCATAATTACAAACAAAATATCAGTATGAGAGCAAAAATATAAAGTAAATGCACAAGTAAGTCTGCATTCAGGTTGTGAGTTCAAACTCTCCTTGTGCAGGTTATCTGAACTCCAATGAAAATTGATTAGGATTGCTGTAACCAAAGGTCTGTGGTTATCTATGACGGACAGACAGACGGACGGATGGACAACAGTATACCATAATACCTCTCATAAACGGGCGTATAAAAAGGAGGGTTCTTTTTCCAAATTGTCTTTGCCTAATGAATATTCTATTAAGAATTTCTTTTAAATATTTAGGAAATTTCCTTTTATCATTAAATGACATTTTATCAAAGTAAATGTGAAAATTACTAAGAATATTCATTTCTAATGAAAATTAATCTTCAAAATGACAACAGAATATGGATCTATTCTAAATTTTAAAAAAATGGAAAATTAATAAAAAAAATCATAACTTCATATTACATTCCTTTAACTGTATCTGAACATGATTAATAAAAAAAAAACACTGACTAGATTGTCAAAATCTTATGAAGAATATTTATATTTATATTTCAAGTAAAGACAGAAAATGTCAAAATGTTGACTTTCTTATCAGAAAACCTATGTGTAACATCTGTGGTCAGTTTATTGGGAAGAGTGATATATAAATTACAAGGACTGCAAACTGTGAAGCCAATCAGTTGTGAAATTTGAAATTCCCTCAATTCTGAGGGCATTCTTCGGGCTGTACTATAAAGTATATGAGCAATCAGGCATCCACCACCAATAAAACCTGGCCACAACACCTAGCCAATACTGTGGCCTTAAAAATCAACAATCAATCACATATAATTTGTGTGTGTTTTTTAGCATGGAAGGAGGGGCAGAACTGATACTTTCCTACTAATTAATATTTTATATACCTGAAATCTGTTCAAAATATTTTTCATGATCATATATGCATTAGTTAACAAAAAAAATTGGTACTGTTGTTCACATACACAAGGGTCTGGATGGGGTGTCCTCCATTTCTATATTATTAAATCTTTAAGGTCATTTGTCTCTATTCTTTATACTTTTTGCCCATCATCTCTTTTCTCAATAAATTAGCACAACATTATTCTCTATTCCTTATATTTTTAGTC